CAGACACATATATAGACAATCAGCAGTGCTGAAATTAATTTGATTAATAGACACAATACTGGTTTCTTAGGTGACAGGGAGAGAGATCAATTGTACTCCAGGAACAATTTGCATTTATATTTCTAGGGACAAGAATCATTTACACTGCTATCAGTTTTTTGCAACTCACAGAATTGTACAATAACTCAAAGACAAGGAAATGTAGAGATAATCTGCTAGACTGGGCACTCAGTAATCTTTATCGCCCAGTTCAAAGTCTTTCACAATTTTTCCTGACACTAATAGACCCCTCAACTTCTCCTCCAACGTAAGGCTTCACTGTGTGAAGGCTTAGTGTTTCTCTGAAAAGGTTGAAGAAAAATAAAGGGTTTTTGAAGATTAATCACACAAAGGTAAAGTCTCTGGGCTCCTCAGATAAGACCACTGAGTGGAATAAAAATCTGAGTTTTATATTGATGCTTGTGTGCTCCAAAAGCCAAGCTGATCTTTTTCTTTGAAATGTAACTCTTATGTCCTCCTTAAAATAATATATCTGGTCTTTAGCCTTTTTTTGTTATCATGAAGTATTTTATAAATACAAAAATTTTATAGAACAACATAACAAACATCCAGATACTTACCACTCAGTTTAAGAAATACAATTGTATTCGTCTTCCCTCCCTGATCTTATTTCTCTTCCTCCAGAAGTAACCATTCTCAATACAGATGGGGAGTTTATCATTCCTTTGAATGTTTTTATGCTTTTACAACATAAGTTGTATCCATAAACCACATACAGTATTGTTTTGCACATTTTTAAACTCTATATAAATGGAATCGTACTGTAGTTTCCTTCTTGCTTTTTCTGTTCAACATTATGTTTCTGAGATTTTAGATCTGGTATTATTTTTGTTAAAAATGATAGCTTAGAAACGAGTGCTTGGGCCGGCCCCATGGCTTAGCGGTTAATTGCGCGTGCTCCGCTGCTGGCGGCCCGGGTTCGGATCCTAGGCGCACACTGAGGCACCACTTCTCCGGCCATGCTGAGGCCGCGTCCCACGTACAGCAACTAGAAGGATGTGCATCTATGACATACAACTATCTACTGGGGCTTTGGGGAACAAAAATAAATTTAAAAAAATTATAAAAAAAAAAAGAAACGAGTGCTTGTTTGGTAACAAGAATGGGAAACAGACATAATTTTGATCGACTATTCATTATTATAAAAGTCTTGGTCCTATATCCTTAGAAATAGGGCATGAAAAGAAGGACAAAGGTGATCAACTGGTGGCGATATTTTAAAGAATTTGGAAAAATATTCTAGGAAAGGTAGCTTTATTCGTCACTATTTAAATAAATAGTAGCTTAATTTACTACTATTTTAAAAACTAACCAAGTTATTTGACCTTGGATAAGTCATATAGCTCTTCTATCTCTTTTTCTTCCTCTGTACAATGAGGGAGTTGAGCTAGATAAGTGTCCTTCAAATGCTTTTTTTTCAACCTATGCCTCTTTTGATGTACACAAAAATCTCAAGTCTTTCTCTAAAATTGTGCCGGCCCCGTGACTTAGCGGTTAAGTGCACATGCTCCGCTGCTGGCGGCCCGGGTTTGGATCCAGGGTGCACACCGACGCACCACTTCTCCGGTCATGCTGAGGCCACGTCCCACATACAGCAACTAGAAGGATGTGCAGCTATGACATACAACTATCTACTGGGGCTTTGGGGGGAAAAAATAAATGTATGCCTCAGGTTTTATTTTCTACAGGGCCTTTTTTAGTCTCCTGTGCACGTATGTGCAGCTCCAGGGGCCGCCAGGCATGTGTGAATAGCTTGGGTTCTCTTTGGGCTCCAGTACGCATGTATGCAGCTTCAGCCAGGAATATGCTTGCCCCAACCACAGCTGCAAGCTCAGGCTAGTAGGGGCAAGCTGTTGGCCTCCTCCTGCTCACCTGTGTCAGAGATATCACTTCCACTGACAA